TTGATGGGAAGGTTTAGTCCCCACTCCCCCTACTCATGGTCGAAATTGATTAGAAAGCGGCTTCATACTGCATTGTGTCCAAAGAAGGAAGGCATAGATGATTTTAGTAAAATACTTTTCATATATAATCGTAGATTAATCATTGTAAAAATATCTCGTGCATATTAACCATTATCATGGTCATCATACCATGTATTTAGTCTCGATCAACACGGTGATTCTAGATGTAATTTGTCTCATCAAGGTTGAACAAATCCTAATAAACTCATTTTAATAAAAAAAACATTTAAGTATTCCATCAAACACTTCATATGCAATTAGAGTTACAAACACTTCATGTGAAACAAGAAGCGTGAAATTGATTTCAAAGGAAGAAACAAGAAACATTCATTTGATTTTAGAGGAAGAACAAGAAAAATGCAAATGATTTAAAAAAATGAGTGCTAGAGGTATCTTCGATGGCAGGAAGAAGCCGGAGGCGGCGTACGGTGGAGGCGGCAAGGCAATGGGCGGAGGCAACAAAGGTGTTGGGCGGAGGTGGAAAGACCGTTTCCTGGAAGAGATTACGATGTTGGAGACGCAATCATTTAGGTCAAGGGTAGAGAAAAGTGGGATTTTTTTCTAGCGGGGACAAATGAGGTTTTTTTTTCAAGTCATATATGTTTTTCATGTAACAAGTATTTCGATTCGATTCAGGTAACCTCTTACTCTTACGGAACCCTGTAAGAGGTAAATCATACACCCTTAGGTGGTGTTTGTTTTTTTGGTAAGGGCTTGTTTGATAGGCCTCTTACTGGGTCCAGTAAGAGGCCAGATCTGACCTAGTCCAAATAAGGGTGTTTGTTAAATCAATTTATGCCTCTTATTCGGTCCACGAGGATCTTACCGAGTCAACAAAAAAATACGTTGACTTAGTTGTTTTTATTCTACTACCCTTTTCAACCCTACATAAGTCTCGTTATTTATCTATTCCATCGAAGGAGAAGCACAACAGCGAGCAGTGCCGATCTGATCAACACTGCATAATCATCTCACCCTCAGGCAATCGACTACCACTCCACCATTGCTAGTTGGCATCCTCCTTCTGCAACAGAAGACGACAACAAAATACGACATGTATGTTAATTTGTATTTTTTGTTTTTTTTTTCTGATATTGGCTGCATACAGAAACCAGTTGCTATGTGTTCATTAAATAAGCACAAAAGAAAAACTGTAATCAAATGTAGCAATGTCATATCCGGTTATGGTATGTTGAAACTGAGAATTAATTATACCTCATATATTGACGCCGGTGCGTGCATGTGATTTTTGTGTTGTTTGCAAGTTAGATTAGTGAACATGAAACTTGGAATATTCGACACAATAGTACACTCTTGAGTGCATGTTGTAGCTAATAAAGTAAATTGAAAGGAAATCACTTCTTGGGTTCTATCTTTGCTATCGTTGTCATCCAGCCTAATATGACATAGTACATTTAACACTAGAGTAAGAACTCTTCTTTTTACATATTTATATCCTGAAAATGATAATCATGTTTAATTATCTATATTATCCATTATGGTGGGATGTTTGTTTGGTGGGCTTTTAATTCAATGAAGAAAAACCACACGATACAACCCTCACTGGAACATTACAAAATAAGAAACAAAACCAATTTTACCCTTGGTTGTCATAGGTTATGTTGGTGCATTTGCACCTAATCTCATTTTGTTTTAACGGTGATCAAACCAAATCTTAATTTCATCTATGGGCTGGATGGGAGGGCATAGCACATGATTCACGAGTATTGAAAGAAGTTGCATTTAATCCGACTTCTGGATTTCCATTTCCTCCACCATGTTTATAATCTTTCTATATCTTTTATTATTATCTATATTGTTTATATAATAGGCGTCACGCTCACCTTTACAGATAAATATTACCTTTGTGACGCTGCATATACCAACACTCGTGGATTTATGACTCCATATCGCAATACGAGGTATTGGTTAGCCGATTTTCGACGACGAAGGGAGTTAACTAAGGAAGAAAGATTCAATCATGCTCATGCACAACTCAGAAATGTTATAGAGCGCGCTTATGGTGTATCGAAGGCAAGATTCCTAATCTTAAAACTAATGGCTCCTTATCCTTTTGCAGTTCAACGAGATATAGTCATTGCTTGTGTCGCAGTACATAATTTTATAAGGAAATGTAATATTCAAGATGACTTATTTACATGCTTTGAAGAGAACAATGACGTTACTCCTAACGCGGAAGGTGGAGGAAATGAGGGTGTAGAATGAGGTTCGGAAGACGTTGAATATATGAGTACTTTGCGTAACCATATTGCAAATCAACTGCTTTCAAATGGTTCAAGTTAATTTTTATGCAAATTTTTATGGTCTGTTTCAATTTTAGAGTCTTTATATTTGTAATTTCAATGATTTATGTTTAATTTGAATTTTGTATGACATTTTGTATTTTTTTTATAATCAACAATTTTATTTAAATATCTTATAAAAAACAATACAGTTTATCCAACACAAAACAAAAAAGGGTAAAATTGTAATTTTTATCAGTCGGTATAGTCAGTCAGATCCATAATCAAAACAATATGATTCAGTCAGAGGCAGATGCAGTCAGAGATTTAGACCCAGTCAGTGCCTGACCTGACTCAATAAGCAACTATCAAATAGTCCCTAAGTATCTTTTTAACATTTTATGTATACGACAGAAAGACATTTGAGGAAAAGACTTTTTGTTTTCAAAAGACAAAAAACATAAAAAAGTTTTTTTTCATATAATTTTTCCAAAAGATAAAATAACTTTTAGATTTGGAAGACGTTTTCTAAGTTCTAACCCTAATGTGATATTTCCTTTTCCACCACCACTGTCGCCGTCACCGCTACCTCTACATCCGCCACCACCATCACCTCCAGTATCATCATTGTCGCCATCGTAATTACCGCCTTCATCACCCATCCGCCACCTTCGCCGCCATCACCCTTACCTCCACCACCACCACCATCACCGCCGCCGCCAATCTTTTTTATGAAGACTTTAAAACACGCACATTTTTTTTATGAACACTAAAAAAGACTTTTGGTACATATCTTATTCCACACACATTGAAAAAAGACTAAGGGGCTGTTTGTTTCCCCTCTTAACGATCCCATCAAGAGGCTGCCTCTAGATCATTAAGATTTAGACCGTTTGGTTGAACCCTTTTTACCCTCTTAATGGGAAGATTTGCCAAAAAATGATCTGATTCGGTAAGACAAGAAAGGTAAGACAAGAAAAGGAGTCTGAGGGGGTGTTTGAGATATCTTTTTGCCTTCAAAAGTCCTTTTCGCAAAAGGACTTTTTGTAAAAGGACTTTTTACAAAAGATGTTTTTAATAATATGTTTGGATTAGCTTTTGAGTAATTTAAGTGTCAAGGGGTTGAAAAGTTACAAAAAGACACGGATACCTGACTTTTCAAAATGCTTCTTTTCCTTCTTTCTCAAAAGTTAGTTTTAAAAGATCTTTTCCCATTACCAAACATCTTTTACCTCATTTTTAACTTTTTGGAAAAGATAGGAGCCAAAAGTTGGTTAAAAAGATAAAACAAACACACTTTGTCCTTGCCCTACCAACAAAATAAGCGCCCGCCTCTTTTCTTTCTTCTCCTTCTTTCTACATATCGAGCGCTTCTCCGAGTCCTCCGTCTTCCTCAGGCGTCGGTGGCTTCCCTGCCAGCCTCCGGCTTCGTCGCCGCCTCCACCTGCCAGCCTCCGGCAGCGCTGCTCCGTCTCCACCTTCGTCGCCTCCCCCTCGCCTCCTCCCACTTTCACCGGTAAGTTTTTTGATTTGTTTTTCTTTCTCGAAATTGGTGTTGTAATCGTGTTCTTGTTGCTCACTTTTTTATGCTGCTCGATTTTGTATGAAATTGGTGTTGCATCAAGTGTAATTTACAAAGACGACTTTTCGATTGGTCTATTATTGGTTGGAGAGTAAAGAACCGGTCCAGTAAGTTAATAGGTATAAATGGATCGATGCTTGGATCCATAAATCCTTGAGTTTATTGTCAAGTGTATGTTAGAGAGTTTGATGATTGAAGAGTTTATTGTCAAGTGTATGTTAGAGAGTTTGATGATTGAAGTTACTTACCGATGTTTTTTTTATCCATAATCACATTCCAAACCATTTCCTATTTAATGAGTTTATTGCCAAATTGATTGATTGCAGGTGGTTAAAATGATTGCACCATTTCCTATTTAATGAGTTTATTGTCGAATTGATTGAATGCTGGTGGCTAAATTGATTGCAGGTGTCTTGGCATTGACATAGCTAAATTGATTGCAGGTCATTGACATACATAAACTTTTACATAAATGTTGTTGTTATAGAGAGAATAATGTGATCTCAGGATGTATATATGACATATTTGGATGTTGGATGATGTGTTTATTATATATGCAAAAAGTAGTTTAGAGGGTTAAATAGTCATTTTCCTTGTTAAGAGGCAGACATTCTGTTGCTTAACCAAACATCAGTTTATTGTTCAGATACAGATTCATAAAGAGCCTCTGCATCATGCATCATACAGATTCATAAAGAGCCTCTGCATCATCCAGACATCTGCATCATTCAGATATGAATCTTCCAGATGCTACCAAACAGTCCCTAAATACATTTTACCTTCTTAAAAAACAAACACCGCCTTAGTATCATAATATATTAAGTCAGTTTTTTTTAACTTAACTGGTGAAAAAAACTGGACAAATAAGGTCTGATATTGTATAGATGTTAAATAGCTAAAAAACCTGGGTATACCAACATTATATTGTAGATGTTAACTAGTTCAAAGGTGAATAAAACCGAACAGGGGTAGTTAGCAACTTAGGATAGAAAGGAGTCTATGAGTAAGCATCTAATCTTAAGTTTTCCTCTATGTTCTTTGAGTAACATGCTGAATTCGATCGAAGCTAAGCTACTTATATGTACCATAGATTACTATATAAAAAAAAAGCATAAACCTTTAAAGATCATTAATTTTCCCGATCATTTGCTCAATGATCAATGCTCATGAACAAGTTTATTAAGTAATGCAGTCAAAAGTGCATCTCGTCTCTCAGCCCGACCCTCTTCTCTCGTTCTTCTCTGTTCTTCCTTCTCCCTCCACAACTCCTCCATCTTCATCCTCTCAACTTCAAGCCTCTCCATTGACTGCCGCCATTCCTGCTCAAACACCTGTCTTTCATAAGTATGTTTCTCCATCAACTCCCGCCACTGCATGTCAATCACTTTCTGCTGTTGGAAGAAATCATGGAGAATTTCACGAACTGGGTCTATGGATTTTGGACTCGGAGTCGGAGTCGGAGGTCTGGCCCGCTTTTCCCTTTCGGGTTTCTTTTTTGGAGGAATCGTGACTTTCGTAACCTTGTTTTCCTCATCTTCATATTCATCTTCGTCATCAGATATTTCTTCTTCCATGGATTGATAAGAACCGATTCCTGCAACTCTTTTTCTCGATTGGCTCGAAGTGGGTTCCGGATCGAAAGGCGTTTGTGGGGTTTTATTTGATCTTTCTGTGAACAGTGCATGCAGATCATCGAAGAACGGGAATGATCGGTTGTTATCTCGATCCGATGTCTCCTTTCCCTGATTCAAGATTTGAAATTTAGACCACAGAATTTGAAATCGGAAATCTAAAAGATATCCCTAATTAGGGTTCTTAAGATCACTTCCAATAACAAGTAATTTGAGAGATTTGTATCAGGGAAATCGAGTAAAAAGCTTATTATACCTTATACCGATTAACGAGGTTTTTCCACTTGCATTTACACTGATCAGGAGTCCTTCTATACCCAATCTCCTTCATCTTCGCAGCGACAACCTCCCAGAGACTCTTGTTTCGTTTCGCCATGGTGAAATCCCTTTCCAACTCCCCACGAATCGCAATCAAGTCCCTCGTCTCCTGTTGGCTCCACATCGGAACCCTCTCGTCCCTTCTCGGAAACTCCTCCGCCATCACCGGTGGGGGCGTCGGAGCATTCATCATCATCATCTGGGTCAGTTGATTTAGGGCTTCATTGTTATCGCTTCCTCCGCCACCACCATACATATCTTTTTGATAAATTCAGTTCAGAAATTGCGGATTTCGATCGTGTAGTTTGTGCAAGGCATTGTTAGGGTGGTTTTGGTTCTTCTACTCCGATGACAGCGGCGGCTAATGGAGAGGTTTTCCCCGGAAAAAAGTCAAGAAAGCGTTTTTGTGAGTTGACTGTTAGGCCTATGATATTGCCAAAGTTTTCTATTTACTGGTTTATTTATGTGTTTGAAAAAACCAGTCCAAATAAGAACATATTTATTGAGATATATTATTATTTAGGTTAGGAGTTAGGTAACAAATCAGTAACTTTAAAGATTAAATGTAAAAAATAGTAAATATTATCGATTTTTTTTTTTAGTTTGTGATTCTTATTTTTGTATTACGATAATATATTAAATTATAGCAATCTCATTTGAATATAAAGTAATTTTTACTTCTATAATCTAATATAGATATGTATTTTCCGTAGTAAAATAAAATACAAAATACAGAAACACGTTTTTACGAGTGATTTTATGTATTTTTGTGATATTGCTAATATACTTTGATTTTTATTTTAATCTATAAAATAATTTATATAATTTTAGACATGGTACCACATGTTAAGGGGGTGTTTGGGATTCATTTTCAAGGGAAAAGTCCTTTTTGTAAAATGACTTTTTGTAAAAGATCTTTTCCAAAAGATGTTGTTTAAAAAGTATTAGGATTTATTTGACTTTTCCGGCCTCAAAAGTTCAAAAAAATACAAAAAATCACCGATTTGTGATTTTTGCAAATGTTAGTTTTTATGTTTTGATAAAAGTTGGTTTTAAACATTCTTTTCCATTTGCCAAACAACTTTTGGATTTGTCTAACTTTTTGAAAAAGTTAAAAAGTCAAAAAAAAATTGATTTAAAATGAAAAACAAACACCCCTAACTTTCATTATAAGTTATATGTCAATTCTTTTGTTGGTGGGGTCATGATGTATCTTTTTTTTTTTATTGATTTTAATACTGCCGCATATATTTTCACATGACAAATCTTTATAAATGGTCTAGTTGCTTTGAATATTAATTTTAACCTCTAATTATTTTGGTTGAAGGTTATGTTGTTTCAATTTTTATCGGTCTCTTGTCTAATATAAAAAGGATTTTTATATTCTTTTAAATTTATTTTATATTTTTTAAAACTAATATTAGTTTTCTTAAAAAGAAAAATAATAAACAACCCTACCTCACCCCACATCTTCCCTTTAGTTCTCTTTTATCTTTGATAACCTTCTAACGTCGTCCACCATCTTCAACGACCTCCTCACGACAGACAACATCCTCACCCAACGAAAATGAAACCCATAAAATCAAGAACACACAACCTAACTACCACCACCACAATCATCAGTTTACTTCTGGAGTTCAAAAACCTTACCGCCACTTCCCTCCAACCATCGACGAACTCAATAGTCGTCGTATGTCTAAGCCCGACATTAGATAAGAAAAATCACTGTGAACCCCTAACCGTCATCATATGTTAAAATCCTAACGCAACCATCGTGTGTTCATCATCATATTAGAAAAGACCATATTCATATAGCCTCTGTGTCTACATTCATCATCTAGTGGTGGTGGCTACAAGGGAGGATGATCAGGGAAGTGGTTAGTGGTGTCTTGTTCACCGCCAATGATGATGGAGAAAAAAAAGGGTGGCTGAAAGTGGTGGTGGTTGCGACGATGTTGGCCAGTGTATTTAACGTGAGATAGGAGTGAAAGTTGTGGAGCGTGTTATTTATTTGTTTTTTTAAATCATTTAAGTTAAAAGATAAAACAAAAAATAACATAAATGGTATAAATGTTTTTTATGTGGGCAATGAACTAACCGCGATAGAAATTGAAACCACAGACACCTTAGGTGAGACAAAAAAAAGATAGGAACTTGAGACAAAAAAAAGGAACTACACTTATTTTGAAAAATTATAGAGACCATTTTTGAAGATTTTTCTTTACATGATATTTTTATTGATTTTTACATGACATTTTTATTGATTTTAGACAAAATTATAGACAAATTACATATTATATTTTGCATCTAACTATGAAAAATATTGCTCGCTTAGTCCTTATTTTAAATTAAAATTGCATTTTTGCTTCCTTACATTAACCTTTGTCTCCACATAACAGTTAACCATCCTCACGTGTTGTGCATATGAGGGTAAACTAGTCATTTTCCATGCCTTTCTTATTTTCGCATGCGAGGTTAATGCATCTGTTAGCATAATCATGTCAATCACATATGTTTTTTGTGTTTTTTAATCACCTCAATCACATTATTTTGCGTTTTTGTTATCATGCTAATCGTATTACCTTTTCTAATGTGATAACTGTATTACTCTAAAACTCTAAACTAAAACTAAAACTAAAATCAAAACAAAAAACCAAAACCAAAATAAAAGAAAAGGAAAAATGTAATGTCTTAAAACAATTCCAACTCAATACATGCAAGTTGATTGCTAGATAAAAAAATGAAGTATGTTACCTATTTTGGAAAAAATGAATATTCATTATGTTGGTATAAAATGTTTTTGGAATAGATAATATTTATAAAATAAAGACACCTCCACAAATGGAAGGAGAAACTGAAGATAAATATGCAAAACTTTAGAATTTAATAGGAAAGGACTTGTATCCACTTTTTTTCTCTATTAAATTGTTTACATTAAGTAAAAAAACACAAATGTAAATCATCCTAAAGTAAAAAAGAAGACACCATCTCAAACTATTACCAAAAACATTGAATTCGGAGTAGCCTCAAGTTAGTTAGCAAATATAAACTTTCACACTATAAAAAACACAAATGTTAAGGCATTCACTAAATTATGCAATTCCAACACTTGTTCTTTGGGTTAATGTCATAAAAACCATCAAGTTTTCAGGGTTTTGTCGGTTTTGCCCAAAGTTAAAATTTATGTCTGTTTTTACCCAAACATTTTCGAAAAAATGTTCGGTTTTACCCTTTTACCGGTGATAACAGGTTTTTCAGGTTATCATTATATTAAATTCACAAAAAAACCCTTAAGTTTACCATTTTTTTGCGTTTTTACCCTTAACTTTATAATTTTTTTTACATTTTTACCCTAAGTATATTTTTTTCATCATATACATATTCATATGATTTTTCTGCTTGAATACGTATAATATGAAAAAAAAATACATAGGGTGAAAGTGTAAAAAAAAATTATAAATTTAAGGGTAAAAACGTAAAAAAAACTATAAAATTAAGGGGTTTTTTTTGCAAAGTTAATATAATGGTAACCTGTTATCACCGGTAAAAGGGTAAACCGAACATTTTTTGGAAAATGTTAGGGTAAAAACGGACATAAAATTCAATTTTGGGCAAAACCGACAAAACCCTGAAAACTTGAGGGTTTTTATGACATTAGCCCCTTGTTCTTTCTACCACTCGCAAATTTGTCTTGATCATGCAACTTACAACACTACAACTTTTAAACCCCTATCCTAATCATCACTTATAAAATGTAAATCTCCTACCTTGAAATTAGGGCTTCCAACAAATTTGCGAGCTGCATTTTTGAAAGTCCACAAAGTCCACATTCCAAACATTCCACAATTCCACCTATCCCGCACACCTTGTATGGCCCTACGATTAACACTTATAGCCAAAGAGGATGAAGTCATTCTCCATTTCCCTTTTGCGATATGGTGCTTTTGATAGTTAAAGAGCGTGCATTAGGTTTTAATTTAACCCCAACATGTCACACCCCCGAACCAGACGGCGGAAACGTCAGGGGGCTTGTGCGTGACTTCATCTTGAAATATCATTACAGTGAATATAAATGAAACATAACATCATCATCACTATGCATAATAATACAACTGCCATTGTTTACATCGAGTACAATCTTTTAAATTACATGACCAAAACATTCAATGTATGATGTTTAATGGTACACAAAACAAAATCTTATATTCTTGTTGATTCTTCCGCTTAACGAGTCCCTGAGAATACAAGTAATTTTGAAAACGTCAACATATATAATGTTGGTGAGTTCATAAGCATGTTTGAATGAAAAGTTTTGTATGGTTCGTAAAACACCAGAAAATCCGATATTTTCTGTAAAGTAGTTTGAAAGTAATGTGTCAAATCAAGTATTAATGCATGTGTGTTTGCTGCTTTTGGAATGTATAGATAAACAAAAATGTAATCCAGATAAAATCATGTATTTTCTGTTGTAAGTAGAAGGTAGTGTATAAATGTATTTATCCCAAAAAATCTGATATTTTCTGCTTACAAAAGTATCGTAATCATAAAATCCCAAGACCGTGTATCGATGTATGTTTTTAGTATAGTCAAGATTTTTATAAATATACTGAAATCTTTGATGAAGTTAGTCTCTAAGTGAGCCGTTACAACCATGTTTGATAATGACTAATTCGCCTGTCTTAGCGTTTTCAGGCGCCGATTTTGATGTAGGTAAGGCTTGTCGCCCTAGACTGGCCTAGTCTAGCTGTAGCGAACAGCTAAGGCGTGGGGGGTCACCCCGTATAGATTTATACACAAACTCCCGCTCTTCCTCCAGGAAACTCTGGTTATAACTACATTCTACGATCATACACTCAAAGGTGTCAACCGATAAATCTCACTAGATTCTCAACTTATTCACGAGTAATGTATTACGCCAAGTATATCGTTTACGTGTAGGTTTTAAGTTTTCAAATCCAAAAGTATGTATGCGAATATATGAAGTTCAGTAAATATGTAGAGGGATAGTTAGGATCCGCTAAGCATGTGATTTTCAGTCCAACCCCTATTAACATGTAAATGGACCACTAAGGTCCAATAAACCTGTAAAAGGGTAATTCTGGCCTAATAGGCATGTAAATGGACCACTAAGGCCCAATAAACATGTGATCCATAGTTCAGACCCAAATTAACATGTAAATGGGCCGCAAGGCCCAATAACATGTCATTGAAAATATTAGGCCCAATATACACTTAAATGGGCCCTTAAGGCCTATTGGCCATGTAACGAGAGTATTAGGCCCAATAAAATTTGTTATCGATGTATTTCGTCCATTCGTTATTATTTCGTTGTTTGTTTTAGTTCGATGTTTACCAAGACAATAAAAATATCTAATTTTTGTAATAGTGACACTTTTGGCCCACTAGACCGAAAATATACATTTTAGTCACATTTTTGGGAAATTTGACACTTTAGATCTCTTAAGACTAAAA